TGGCTGGGCCGGCACAGATACTTTCAGCTCCCACTATCAGGCTGCTCTTACTAAAAATCCAAATGTTTCTCTTCAGTCTTGCACTGTTCTGAACCCAGCCACCGTCTTCCCAACCAACCTGCAGCTAAAACATGAATGTGAACAGACCATCTCCCAAAATTATGCCAGTCATTATGCCCCAATCTGAGGGACCATCCGTTAACAGGGCTGGCTGACATGTGGTTCACCAATAGAAGCAATTTCATAAAGGATGGTGTTAGGAGGGCAGGCACACCACAGCCAGCCCTGCGTGGGTCCTTGCAGTGAGAAGACTTCCCCCTGGGGCTTCTGCCCAGAAGGCAGAACTTGTTGTCCTCAACAACTTGCCCAGGGCAAGAGGATCAAAATTTATACTGACTCCAAATGTACCTTTTTGATATTATATGCACATGTGTTCATCCGAAAAACAAAACAAAACAGGACTTTTGACGACTTGCCAGTCTCCAATAAAACATAGACCAGATATTCTCAGTCTTAGGTAGTAAGTCTCCCAAGTGAGGAAATACTTACCCATTGGAAAGGACATCAGGCCTCCTGGAACCTGTCTCTCGGGGAAATTCTAAGGCAGATTCTCCTGACAAACAGGCTGCTCTTCAATATAATTCCACCCATCCACATCTACCCATGGTCTCACTTCAAAATCCTGACTTAGAGCCAGGAGTCTCTACAGAAGAGCTTCATATGATTTGTATTGAGGGGAATTAAAAAGGGCCAGCGGTAGTATGTGGGGCTAGCTGTTCTTGCCACAATGAATGCAGTGGAAAGTCATGAAGTCCCTACATGATGCCTTCTATATAGGGTAATATGCTACCACTGTTATGGCACATAGGATCTTTATAGGGTCTGAAACCCATTTTGTTTTTTGGTCGTTCATTTTGGGTTTTTTTTTGGTACCAGGGATCGAACTCACGACCTCATGCTTGCCAGGCAAATGCTTATGCCACTGAGCTAAATCCCCAGCCCATGGGTGGTTGTTTTTTAAGACAGTGTCTCACTATGCAGTTCAGGCTGACCTTGGTCTCACTTTGTAGCCTAGACTGGTCCCTTGTAATGCATTTCAAATGGACTGAGATTAAGTTTAGATTTGGGGCTGCCTAAAGCCTCATTAGGGCAATTACAAGGAGATTTAGCTACATACGGTGAATTTCTTTGACAGTTTGGCTAAAGTTCATTTAAGAGTTTGATTGGCTCTCTCAACCTTCCTGATGACTGGGGACTCTAAACAGTGTAGAGATATTTAATGTTCAGTGCTTTTGTGGCTCCCTGTATAATCTGAGATGTGAAAGAGGATCTGTTACCACTCTAGATAAACCTAGGCAGTTCAAACTATGGATTACTTTTTTGGTTTGGTTTGATTTGGTTCTTGTTTGTTGGTTGGTTCAGAGGCAGAGTCTCTCTTTGTAGTTCAGGCTGGCCTTGAACTCATTATGTAGACTAGGTTGGCTTTTGACTTGTGGTGATCCCCTTGCCTCAGCCTCCAAAAAAACTACAGGTATATACTACCACATTTGACCCAGGGAGTACTTTATTAAAGAGGACTTTTGCCACCTCTAGAGCCCATTTTGACCTGTTAGGGAAGCCCTCCATCCACCCAGTAAAGATATCAATGCACACCAAGAAGTGTCAATGCATACCCCTTACACATAGGCATGTGGCTAAAGTCTACTTGCTAGTCTTCTCTGGGGGAAAACTCATGCTTTTGTGGTGATTCAAGCAAAGGGGGAAGATGAGTCTGTGAGTTAATGGAGGGTACAGACAGGACATGCCTTACAGACCTGAGTTATAACATTGTGGGGCAGGGCATGGTAGTGCACACCTATAATTCCAGCACTCTGGAGGCTGAGACAGGAGGATCAGTGCAAATTTGAGACCAGCCCACTTAAAATGCTTTCCAAGGGGCTCTTTATGGCATTTGATCTATTCGCTGATACCGAAACTTTCCAACTCCTTCAACATGTGACCCCTCTGGGAACTTTCCAACTACCCTCCAGGAATATGGAAGTAAGATCCTTCTATTCCCAGGGATTAACAATAACTGTTAACCCAAAATCCACCCTGGTGAGCAGAAAAGACAGTGGATCCCAGGACCAACTCACACTCAGATGGAAAGGGCCTTACACAACTCTATTAACCACTCCTTCCATTTGCGTACAGGAAATAGGTAATCGGGTTCATCACTCCAGGGTAAAACCCAAGCTGCCTGAGACACCAGAAGAACAAGTGACTACAAACTTCCCATACTTGTGAACCAGTAGACAATCTCGGATTTCTCTTCAGAAAAGAAAACATCAACCACCCTGTTGAATCAGACCAATAAAACGGTTTGCTCCCTCTAAGTAAATTGTGTAACTAACCTTGCTACTGTTTTGTTTACTGCACATAAGGTCCCTATTCCAAGTTATAACATGACATCTCTTGGGGTTTTTTTCTGTATCTTTTGGGGTCATCTTGGATTATTCAAAGACTGCCTCTAATAACAGTAATAAATATTAACAATTTACACGAGACCTTAAAACTAATTTTTCTCCTAAAACATTTTTCTCCTATCATTAATAGCTACCTGTTGACAGAGAAGCTTGACCAGAATATTGCTATCCTTCAAAACCAGATAGACCCAGCTGGGTGTGGTGGCACATATCTGTAATCCCAGCACTCAGGAAATTGAGGCAGCTGAATTACTGTGAATTTGAGATCAGCCTGGGCTACAAAGTGAGTTGAAGTCCAGCCCAAACTGCATAGCAAGACCCTGTCTCAAAAAAAAAAAAAGGCCAGTTAGACTCTCACTAGCAACAGTGGCTACACAACATCACAGTGCACTAGAATTCCTAATAGCCGAAACCATGGGGCTATGTCCCTAAAAGAAGAATGCAGTTCCTATGTCAATAGGTTCAAAATAATGAAACAAGCAGCACAACAATGGGCTGACTGTGTTTCCACGGTTTGTGAAGAACTATCCGGATCATGGATATCCTGGTCACATATTTGAATTTGGGGGTCTTGGTTACTTCCGGGCATGGCCTTTATTGAAGTTTCACATAACCTCACCCGGTAAGTCCTGACTGACAAATGAGCTCTAGTCTGGAAGAATATTTGTAAGTCAAATTCATTTGTAAGCCCAACAAAGTGAGTTTGATACAGGTCTGATGCAAATATTCACTGCATATTGCTTTGTGCTTGCTAAACATCCCCTCCACATCACCACTCCTCTTCCCCTTGCTTCAGACACCCTGGCTCTGATTGAGCTCTGCCCTATTGTCCACTCTCACACTGCACAGTAAGATGCCCAGCAGATACATGAGCTGCTTCCAAGGTTTTTTCACATCTATGTATGTTCATAAGGTGAGGTCTGTTCCATATGTGAGGTCCGTGAAAGTCTGTAACTCGAATGCTTGCTTATAAATTGAAGACTTACTGTATCTATACCTTACATGCTTACTCTCTTGTATCTATTTAGTTATTTATTTGTAGTTTTTTAGATTTTTTTAGGGTTTCACTATGTAGTTTGGGCTGATCTTGAACTTGTTATGTAACCTAGGTTCATCTTAAACTCATGGTGATTTTTCTGCCTCAGCCATTTGAGTGCTGGAATTACAGGGGTGTGCCACCATCCCCACTTTACACACTTAATCTTGTAGTCAATTTCTTTCTTTCTTTCTTTCTTTCTTTCTTTCTTTCTTTTCTTCTATCTTTCTTTTTTTTAAACAGGGCCTCCCTATGTAGTTTAGGCTGGCCCTGAACTCACTGTGTAGCCCAGGCTGGCCTTGAACTCAAAGCAATCCTCCTGCCCAAACCTCCTGAGTGCTAGGATTATAGGCGTGTGGCACCACGGCCAATTTTTTCTTTTGTCTTGTTTGACAGCCATCAAACTACTGGTGATGATCATAATTTAACATCAGAAACTGCCTCCACATCGACGGTTCATCATGAAGGCCTCAGAGGAAAAGCCCTTGAATTCATAGATCAGTTAGGGAAAAAATTCTTTGGCCTCTACTTAGGTAGCACTCTGTCAATCACTCCTGTCAATCACGTCTAGCGATACATCGGAAGGCACTGAACACAGGCAGCTGGCCTTTAAATTGTGAAAGCCTGAGTTATAGCCCTTTTCTCTTGCTTTTTCTGTCACCCCAGCACCTTTCTTGCTCTGTGTCATACCCCACAGACTGGCCCTGAGCACTGCTTCCTGGGATCTTCAATAAACATAGCTGCTTATTTACTTACTACTGGAAATGTAAATTCTTTCCTCTTTTTACGCAAGAACCTGGGCTATTATTGGGGCGTTCAACTGTAACAGTTTAGAAACCAAGAATGTCTAGAAATAGGCACCCTGGACACCTGGGTTGAAGTTGGAGCTGCGGCTTTCACCCATGTCAGGAGGGAGCTGAATAAGAAAGGGTCATGTGACAATAAACATGGGAACAGTGACAATGAATATGGCTTGATAAGATGGCCTTCAGTAGCACACAGACCAGGATGGCGGCCTGTTCAGACACACACTGTGGGAACTGACCCTTCTTGGTGCATAGGTAACCACCCACCAACTCCATGGACTGTGTGGCAGCTCTGCCCTTTAGGTGCCATGCCAAGAAGACACCCTCACCACCCAGACTTTGTTCCTTAGGGGCTGGCTGACCACAGCTGCTCGGGACCCAGAGTGGCTTTGGGCTAAGGACAGTGGTATGTGGAGGGCTCCCACATGGATCTAGATCCTATTCCTGAGCTCGCTTTGGAGCACCTGTGGGAGCCCTGCACCCTTCAGGACCCAGGGGCCACCTCCTGGAATCTGGCAGTTTCTGGCCTTTGCTTGTCTGCAGTTTTGGTCACTTTGGGCCCCAGCAGTTGTAGGAAGACGGGTCTCAGCTCTGGAGTGCTACCTCTTGGCAGCGAGGAACAGAAGCCTCCAGGTGCCCACACCTTGCTGCTCTTTGACCCGCACCTCCCGGATCCTTGGCCCTCCTCCACCTCCTCCTTCCTGCTCACCTCTCCCTCCTCGCTGCCCTCCTCAGTCCACGCTCTGACTGCCAGCTTCCCCAGCTCAGCACCCAACCCGGTCCTCCCATGCTGTCACCAAGGCCTCGATCCTGCACATCTCCCGACGCGGACAGGGAGAACCCAGGCAAGAAGATTCAGTGGACTGCAGAGCGGAGGAGGAGGACGTCATCCACGGACTCAGAGTCCAAGTCCCACACAGACCCCTGCAGGCTGGCCAGGTCCCGGAGACACAGCCGGCTGACGGTGAAGTACGACCTGGGGCAGCTGCAGCGCTGGCTGGAGATGGAGCAGTGGGTAGATGCGCAGATTCAGGAACTCTTCCAGGTGGGTAATGTGGAGATGTGGCTCTGGGCTTGGACCGGGGATAGAAAGCCTGCCCAAAGAACTTCAGAGGAGCTGTAGGGCTGATGTGAGATGGGTCTGCAGAAGGAAGACTTTTGTGCAGGTGGAAGGGAGAGGCCTTTGTTATGCTTCTTTGTTATCTGGGGAAGACCTTTTAACATCCCTGTGACTCAGTTTCCTTATCTATAAAATGGGGTTATTGATCCCTTTTGTATCTTTTTGGTAGAATTTATTATTATGGTTGTTAATAATTTTTATTATTGTCTGGGCATTAAACCCAGGACCTTCACACTGAGTTATGTCCCCAGCCCTTTATTTTGAGACAGCATCTTGCATAGTTCTCTAATCTAGGCTCAAATTTAGAATCTTCTTGCCTTTGCCTCCAAGGATTCTGGGATTACAGATACATGCCACCATGCCTGACTTGATAAGATTTTTTGAGGATCAAATGACATAATCAAAGGGAACATGCTTGACCAAGCTGTTTTGATTATTTTATGTCTTAATTTACTCTCATCCTCAACACATACATATATCTAGAAATATATCATCCAATACTGTAACTATCAGCTATGTATAGCTATTAATTTCTGAATTTAAAAAAATTTTTTTGTTGTTTTTTGAGTCATGCTATATAGTTGAGACTGGTCTTGAACTCACTGTGTAGAACAGACTGGCCTCAAACTTTATGTGATTGTCCTGCCTCAGCCTCCCCAGTGCTGGGACTATAGGTATATACCTCCACAACTAGCAGAAAAAAACTCATCAATGTCTAAAATGTCTGTAGAGACATCTGACATGTTACTATAAAAAGTATTTCCTGAGACATATGAAAATATAACATTATGCTTTGTTTTGTTTTGTTTTGCTTGGGACAGGGTCTCCCGGTGTGGTCTAGGCTGGCCTTGAACTTACTGTGCAGCCCACATTGGCCAGGAAGCTGCCACAGTCCTCTGCTTTAGTAACCCAAGTGCTCGGGTTACAGGTGTGCTGCACCGCACCTGGCTCACATTATTCTTTTAAACCCTTACAGTTCAAGACTTTCCACTCAGCAAACTAGCTAAGGACCTCAAACTGAGAAGCTGTATTGGAATACAAACACTGTGTGAAACTTAATACTTTCTTCTTTCTTCCTCTCTTCCTTCCTTCCTTTCTTTTTCCCTTCTTTTGTTTTTTCTTTTGCATCATCAGAGAGTATTCCTGAACTAACAACCAAGTTGCCCACTTAGTCTGCTGTTCAGATATGAGGGAGACACTTCTCTGTACAGGGGGCCTGTACTGTGTTCAATCCTATGTGTGCGGATGTCTAACATGGGCGAACAGTTTTCTCCCAATTCTGTAGTAATTTAATCTTCCTACTAGGAAAAATGGCTAATATCCTTGCTCGGTTTGTATTTCAGACCATTCACTGTATATCTGCATGGAGCCTCATATTCTAGCCGTAGACATTTTAGGGCACATCCTCACCAGGCAGCAGAGAAAGACTGTCGCCAACAAACCTTGATTTGCAAGATGAAAGTGGAGGAGCAGGAAACTGAACAGTCATGAGCCCTTAACACTGGAAAACAGAACATGTGGGAGGACTACTCCCAGGCAATGACTGGAATAAAAAGCCTGGCCAGTGGTTGTCATGGCAATTGTCCAAAGGTGCCAGGTGGCAGGCAGTTCCTCTCCCAATCCCTGGCCTTCTCAGCAGGAAGTAGCTAAGCACCTGGGAAAACCCCAGGTAGTTGGACATCTTGGGCAAAGGTAAAGACAGCATAGCGTCTGGCCTTACCTTTACCCTGATCTAGTTCTGCCTCTATGGAATCCATGTCACCCACCAGGGCTCTGCCCCACATGCTCACTTTGAGTGGCATCACTGGGACTAGTTAAGGCCTTAGATGTCCTGTTGTCCAGAGATAGAGTATGAATTTGGCTTCTAGGCAGGGACTTAAACACCCATGCATTTCTCCTGTGTCAAGCCGACTCTTGTTCAACAGTATGCCCCATCTAGTTACCACCTCATCTTTCTTTCTCTTTCTTTCTTTCTTTCTTTCTTTCCTTCTTTCTTTATTTCTTCCTCTTTCTTTCTTTCTTTCTTTCCTTCTTTCTTTATTTCTTCCTTTTTCTTTCTTTCTTTCTTTTTCTTTCTTTTCTTTCTCTCTCTTTCTTTCTTTCTTTCTTTCTTTCTTTCTTTCTTTCTTTCTTTCTTTCTTTCTTACCAGGGATGTAACTTGGGCTGGGGATTTAGCTCATCAGCATAAGCACCTGTCTTGCAAGCGCGCGGTCGTGAGCTCGATCCCCAGTACCAAAAAAAAAAAAGATATACCAGGGATGTAACTCTGACACCATGCTTGCAAAGCAGGCGCTTATGCCGCTGAGCTAAATCCCCCACCATCTCCTATTTCTTATCTCATCACAGCCAGACACCTTAAAACATTTGTCCACACTCAGCCTTTACTCACTGTTTCCCTTCCTGTCACCACTCAGTCCCCTGAAATCTGAGTTCTCTCTTATACTCTGTTGAGAGCTCTGGTAGAAGCCAACAAACACAGCCTTGGGGCTGAATATAATGCACAGATCAGCAGGAGACCTTGTTGGATGTGGTAGGGCTAGGGCTGGGGCTTCAAAACATCCCTTTCCTGTGGCTTCCATGACAGTCTTTTCCCGGTGGAGACTGGCATTTTGACAGTCTTTTTCTTTTTTTTCTTTTTTTTTGTCTTTTTGAGACAAAAACAAAAACAAAAAAAAACCACTATGCAGATCAGGCTGGCCTTGTACCTCAGGCTGTTCTTGAATTTGCAATGATCTGCCTGCCTCCTGAGTGTTGGGATTACAGGAGTGCATCACCATGCCTGGCTCTGACACACTGATGTAGTGACATTTTAAACCAATCTATTACACTTCCAACCTTAAAGAAATATTACCCATAAGCCAGGCATGGTGATGCACAGCTGTAATCTCAGAATTCCTGAGTTGAGACAGGAGGATTGCCATGAGTTAGAGGCCACCTTCAGTTATGTAGTGAGTTCAAGGCCAGCCTGCACTATATAGTGAGACCTTGTCACCTCCCAAAACACATTGTCAATGCATGTGTGAAACAAATAACTGCTAGCCTTACTCCCCATTGCTGGTCTTCATGGTGGAGAGATTAGGTGTAAAAGACTTGGGTGTGGAGTACAGATCAGAAAGGGGGTCAGATCAGGCAGTATCAGGCAGGAAAGGCCAAGTATGATACAGAGTCACAGGTTCCTCCTACTTGTTCATCTCAGCAATGGTTGTTTTATATGCCAAGTATTGAGCTACATCTCTAGCCACCCTTAAAATTTTTTTTTAATTTTGAAGTAGAGTCTTTTTTTTTTTTTTAAATCATGTTGAGTCTGTGAATTGCCTAGGCTGGGCTTTAACTTTTATCTTCCTGCCTCAGCCTCCTAGAGTTCTGGGATTACTGGTACGCACTACCACACCTGGCTAGGACTCATATTTTTTTAAAAAGCAAAGGACTAATCTTTGTAGTGTCTTCTTTATTCTTCCTTCCTTTTGAGGTTCCAATACATATGTGTTTGTTCACTTGATAAGTGTTCCACAGGTCACCAGAGCTTTTTCCAATTCTGCTTTGTTTGTTTGTTGGTTTTTGTCTTTTCGAGACAGGGTCTCACTGTGCAGTTCAGGCTGGCCTTGAGCTCACTTTATAGCCCAGGCTGGTCTTAAACTCGCGATGATCCTCCTGCATCAACTTCCTGAGTGCTGGGACTACAGGCATGAGCTACCACTCCCGGCTCAATTCTGTTTTTCATCCCACCCTCTTTCTGCTCATGTTTCCCCCTCTTATCTTTTTATCTGCTTCTAGTTCCATCCAGCAGAGTTTTGATTTAAAATAATTTTTCACATTCAGATGCACCATTTGAGTCGTATGTGTCCCATTTTTCTTGTTAATGTGCTCATATTTTTCTTATCTGCTAATTCCATCAGTTCTATCATCTATGGATCTACTTTTGCTGACTGATTTTCACCTGGTTAAAGGTCTCTTGCCTCTTAGCCTGACTAGTAATTTACCTACATCTATCTATCTGTCTGCTATCTATCTATCTATGATAGTGCTAGAGATTGAACCCAAAGCCTTGTGTCCTGGATCAGCAAGAGTTCTATGAGCCTAATTAGTGATTTTTCCTTTTGTACAGGAGATCAAACTCACAACCTCATTCTTATCAGGCAAGCATGTGACTTTTTTTTTAAAGACAGTGTCTTTCTATGTAGTTCAGTGGTCTAGAGCTCAACTTTGTAACTCAGCCTGGTCTCAAACCTGCAGTGATCCTCCTGCCTCCGCTTCCTAAGCACAGGCTAACTTGTAGTGGACATTGTGAATTTCATGTTGAGTAACATAATTTTAAAACAATTTTCCTTTAAGGAATATTGGACTTTGGTGGTAAAGTAGGCAGTTGACTTGGTTATTCTTCTCTCATTGCTGAAATAAAATACTGGACACCCAAATTAAAGAAGGAAGGTTGATTTAGTTCACAGTTCGTGGAGGTTTCAGTCCATAATCAGCTGGCTGCAAGGCAGGGGCACATGGCTGAAGAGCAACAGTTCACGGCATTGGAAGACAGTGAAAGCAACAAGAGTGAAAAAGGGAGGAGTGACAGAATACACCTCTTTCCCTTCCTTATGTTGTACGCAGGCTACCTGCCCCAGGGCAGCTATATCACTCACACCCATAATCCCAGCACTGGAGCATGAGTCAATCACAAACTCTAGAACCCCATCCCCATGACTGCAAGAGGCGTTGGGACATCTAGACACAAACCATAACAGTGGTAAAGTTATTTGTGGTTGAATGTGATCCATCAAAGGCTTGTTTATAAGCTCTGTCAGAATTAGACTTTAGTCTAGGAAACAATTTACTCTCCCTAAGGATGACTGCTTATTTTTCTACTGAGTTCAGGATCAACAACTAGTCACTTTGTTTGTGTATTTTAGCCTCAAATTTTTTTTTTTCTTCTTCTTTCTTTCTTTCTCTCTCTCTTTCTTTCTCTGGTACTGGGAATCAAACTCAGGATCTTGTACTCACTAGGCAGGCACTGTGCTGTCCTCTGCCCCAAGTTTTCTTTTTTGTTTGTTTTGTTTTGTTTTTTGAGAAGATTCTTACTATGTATCTCAGGGCCTTGATTTTCCTACACAGCCCAGGCTGGCCTTGAACAGTTTGTCTGCTCTTAACTTGCCTTCCAGTCCTGCGTGCCATCTGGGAACAGGGAAGACCCTGAGCTGCTGCTTTCGGTGCCTCATATTACCCAGCCTTGTGAAGTTTACACTGTGAACCCATACACAAGTTTCTGCAGGTCTCTTTCTGCGTAACTTCCTTCTCTCTAGAATCTTATCCAGCAACTTCTAGCCACTCTACTCTGTCTCAACCCTGATCTCTGTCATATCAGTTTAGCAAGACCACTCTCCTCTGCTTAGACTCTCTGCTCTGTGGTCTGCAGTTGCTTCCAGGAAGAAATCTGGGGCAGGTATAGGACTGACTTCTGTTTCCCCTTTCTCTGGCTCACAGTCCTAAGCTAACTATTGTCCAATGTCTGAAAATATGGTTCATATTTTTGGATAGTTTTACTTAGGTTGTAAAAGCAAATTCGGTCCTTGTATTCCATTCTGACTGTAAGCAGATAGAGTGTATCTGGTTTATTTTAGCTTTCAGATCTCAGATTACATGTCACCTCCAAGAAGCCTTCCTGAACCTCAGGCTTGGTTAGGTTGCTTCTCCTGGGTCCCGCATCATAGGCTCCTCACTGAGCACTTAACTGTCATTTCACTCACCTGCATCCCACAGGAAGCTACAAATTTATTTTGGTTTGGTTTGGTTTGGTTTTGAAAGAGGGTCTCACTTTGTAGTTCAGGTTGGCTTTGAACTGTGTAGCCCAGGTTGGCCCTGAATTTGTGGTAATCCTCCTGCCTCAGCCTCCCATGTGCTAGGACTACAGGCGTGTGTCCCCATGCCAAGCTTCAAGACTATAAACTTGGGGGCTGGGGATTTAGCTCAGCGGCATAAACACCTGCCTTGCAAGCAGGCAGTCGTAAGTTCGATCCCCAGTACTGATAAAAAGATTAAAAAAAAAAAAGACTATAAACTTAAAAGGCAGTATTATGTCTGTCTGTCCTGCTGGTGTGGGCCCAGCTTAGTACAAGAGTGTGCACTCAATATATAGGCATAAAATTAAAAAAAAAATGAACCCTGAATAAGATGAGCTAGAGATCAAAGAAGCAAAGGAGGAAAGTCTAGAGCTTAGGGGGAAGTGCTAACTTAAGCACCATTTATTTTTGAAAAGGTATGGAAGGACCAGAAGTATTAAGAGTGGTTACCACTTGGCAGTGAGGAATGAGAAGGTAGGTGAGGTTCTTTTTCTTTTTGCTCTCGTTTCTTTCATTTATTTATTTAAATGGACAAGATTGACTATTTAGTTGTAACTGGAAGAATAACGTGTCCTTTTGAAGCATTTAGATGCATTTTGCCCTATGTAGCTACTACTCTAACAAGACAAGGGACATTTCCATCACCCAAAAAGTTCCCAAAACAGCACTTACCGGTAAACAAATGGCATCATTTCAATACTTATAATTATCTGTTTCAGTGTGGTTCACTGACTGCTGCAATATGTAGGCTCTTTGAAGGCAGGTTTTTGTTTTGCTTACTGAATGAAGTTCTGAAGTTCACAGTGCCAGTTAAATAGTAGCTACTGAAAACACACTTGTTGAATACAGATGCCAAAGGATTAAATAAGCAAATGGAAAAGATGAAATTTTCAAACCACTAAAAATGTGTGGCCAAGTACAGGGACGTAAGCTTGTAATCCCAGCACTCAGGAGGCTGAGGCAAGAGGATCACTGAGTTTGAGGCCACCCTTGGCTACTTAGTGAGTTAAAGGCCAGCTTGGACTGCATAGTGAGACCTTATCTCAAAAAAAAAAAAAAAATCAATCAAACAAAAAAGCTTGCCATGAGTTTTGAGGCCAGGCTGAACTTCCTAGTGAGACCCTGTCTCAAAGAAAGAAAGAAAGAAATGGAAGATAGAGATAGAAATAGAGATAGAGATAGAGAGAGAGCATGAGAGCGAGAGAGCGAGAGAGCGAGAGAGCGAGAGAGAGAGAGAGAGAGAGAAGGAGGAGGAGAAAGGGGAAACCTATGCTGGAAAATATCATTAGGTTCAGCTATATAAACAAATAATACTTATTTTCCCAACTGTTGCTACCTCACCACACAAACACAAAAGCTATTTCCATCATATGTGTAATGTTAGGGATAGTCTGAATTCAGTAACTTTAATTAGTAAGAAAAAACAAGCCAATATACAAAAATGGGTAAGATATGTCAGACAGAAGTCCTTTCATTTTTTTAGACACAGTCTCAATGAGTCCAGGATGGCCTGTAACTCTTGGTGATACTTTTTGTCTCAGCCTTGTAAGTGCTGGGATTATAGGCGAGTGCCAAAACACTCAATTTAGGATAATAGTTCTTGAAAGGTGATCTAGTCGGGAGGGGGAGGGAAAAAAAAGAAAAGGTGATCTAGTGACCACTGAGAGTTCAGAGACCCTTTCAGAGATTCCATGATTATTTTCATAACAAAACTAAGATTTTTATTTTTATTTTTTGCTGTTTCAGATTGAACCCAGAGCCTTCACACTGAGCTACTTCCCCAGCCATTTTTATTTATTTGATAGTGTCTCCCTGAGTCACTAAGGTGCCCAGGCTGGGCTTAAACTTGCCATCCTTTGATATCAGTAGCTGGGACTGCAGGTGCACACTACTGTACCTGGCTGTGCAGGCTTTTATGTGGACATGTCCGGATTGTATGCTAAGAGTATGTTTAGTTCTCTAAGAAACTGCCTGACTGTCTTCCAAAGTGGCTACTACATGCCCAACAGGGGTTCTTGTTATGTAGTGCAGGCTGGCCTTGAACTTACTGTGTAGCTCAGGCTCTCCTCAAATTTGAGGGGGTCCTCCTGCCTCAGCCTCCCAAGTGCTGGGATTACAGGGCTGAGTCACCCTGGCAAGAAAAATAGACATTTTTTTGTTTTGTTTTGTTTTTTCGAGACAGGGTCTTGTTTGGTTCAGGCTGGCCCTTAACACACAGGCTAGCCTCAAACTCATGGCAATTACAGGTGTGAGTCACCACACCCAGCTACACACTTTATAAAGAACCCTAAGCTAGCATATGGGTGTCTAGTAAATGTTTGTTCAGTGGGGTAAATGAATGGCTGCTCTGAGTAAGGTGAGGAGCAGGGCTGACCAGGGCAAGTTGTAGGGGATGGGCTTGGAGATGAGTTCTTGAGAGTAACACACAGTGTTCCCAAACAGGATCAAGCAGAACCTTCTGAGCCAGAGATTGACCTGGAGACTCTCCTGGAGCTGTCCACAGAGGAACAGAAGATGCAGTTGGAGGTAGGATGGGAGGCTGCTCCCATGGGCTGGTGGCTGGGTTTAGACCCAGGGTAACCCAGGAACCCAGGCTTATCCCCCTTGGGTGGGGTGGGGAGAACTCATTCAGAGGGATGAATTTGTGGGTGACTGAGTGGGGGTTTGTGGGAAACTGCTGTGGCTTGGGCATCCACTTTGATCTCTTCTATCCAGGGCATTCTCCAAAACTGCCCCCGCCCGACCGAGGTGAGAGATGTGTGGCTGGGCTGGGAGTATGAGCAGGGGTGAGTAGGGTGGGAGGCTGCTAATGAGGATGAGGAAAAGGAGTATCACAAAGGAAAACTTGGTTGTTTCCTTCTCCCCTCTCCTGGCTCTGGGGAGGTAGGGTTGGGGCTAGATTAGGAAGGGTAGGGTAGTGGGGTGTGTGACCCCATGCCTTGATCTAACACCTTTTATCTCTCAGGATTTTATCTCTGAACTGCTCAGTCAACTCAAAAAACTTCGGAGACTCAGCCGGCCTCAGAAATAAGCCTGGAGAGGCCATCCTCAGCAGCCTCCGCACTGCCAGGCCTTCAGGACCTCCTGGATCCTAGTTGGGTGGGAAGCACCTCCTTGGGATCCAAATAAGGACCAAGGACAATGAAGGACACTCGCACACCTCTAGCGTATGTACAGTCACAGCAGGTTCTCTCGGCTGTGCTCAGAGCCAGTACTAGCTGCTGTCCATGCTTTCCTCAGCAGCTGTGTGGATAAAATCCTAAGGAGCCCTAGCTGAATGGAGTGTGGACTGTGTCTGTGGGGAGGGGAGGGAGAGGGTGAAGGGAAACCCTGAAGACTGATATCCTCAGTCACTAGGCTGTACCCATGCCTTCCCACCCACCCATGCCAACAAGTCTTGAGAGTTCAAAGGCCACAGTCTGAACTCTATTTTGAAGAGACCACAACTTAGTAAAGCCCAGAGGTCAAACCAAGGGCATCTGGCTAAGACACATCATCCTGGCATCACCAGCCACAGGGGCTCAATTGGCCAAGACTAGTGAATCTCACAGAGGGGGTAACAGGAGCTACATGGCTGGATCTGGGGCTGTTCAAGGCTGATCTTTCTCCGCTCACAGCTGATGTAGGAGGAAGCCTCACAGTGAAGTCTCTTTCTTGAGGTGGTTCCATTTAGGAGCAAGAAGAGAATACAAAGAAGCCTTCCTGAGGAGTGTACAGGGTACAGGTCAGGTCAGAAGAAGATACTAGGAGACAAATACTAGGTCTGAATGGCAGAGCCCTGGAAAGTGACAGGAAGCGGCCATGTCTGCAAAATTGTTCCTACATGCATTGTTTGGGTACCAAAGAAGTGAGAAATCCAATACGAAGTCTGGTGGCAAGCTGGGCTGCCCAGAGCAGGAAGGCGGTTCAGTTGAGTGAATATCCCTGCTTAGTTCATGAGGCCGCCAGGATGGGAGCTGTTTCTGCTGGGAAAGCTTAGACAGGACAGTCCAGGCCTTTCCCTCCTGCAGGACCATGCTCATAGCCCACTCTGCTCTTGCCATCTCTCACAGGGCCCAGGCTCAGGATCCACAGATTCTCTAGAAAAGAGGTGTTGGAGGCAGTGGGGATAGTTCAGAGGGAAACATGTGCTTAGATGAGTGAAGACGTGGATTCAATCCGCAGCACTGCTACACCAAGGAGAGACTCAGCATACTTTATTAGCCCTACTACATACCAGGGAGGGCCCGGGGCCCTGAAGCCTGCTATAGAGCTCATCTTTAGATTCCATTTGGTCTTTTCCATTATGCCTCTCACTTTCATCCCAGGTTTCCTGGAGAAAAGCCCCTGCTTGTTCTTCTCTCTGGCTACTCCAGTCATCATCATGAATGAAACTCTTCCTCTTTCCAAGGACATCAAGGCTCAGAGCTGGCATATCTATCATCAGCAGAGCCTAAGTTTCTGTCCCACCGGATGGCCTAGGGCTGGAGGTACCCACAGGGCTGTGTTCCCAGGAGGAGCAGTGTTTTCTCAGTGCTCTTGGCCAGCATGTAGGGGGCGATAGGCAGATGTCTGGTGCTCTTTAAGCTCAAAGGCATCATGGCCTTCCCTATGGAGCAAAGGGCTAAAGGTCAGGGGCCCTAAGTGGCCCTCGAGTCCCCCCATAGAACATTCTACCTGCACCCACCGGAAGCACCGGGCACAGTAGAGGTCTCCGTCACAGCCAGCGCAGCGCAGGGTGGCATCCTCGTTGCAGATGCAGCACCAGGGGAGCTCTTCTTCCTCAGTCTCGGGCCTAGGAGCCACAGGCTGGACCTTCAGGGACTGGAAGGCATGTGGGAAGTGAGGTCCTGATGGGAGCGGTCAGCCAGGCAAGGAGGGAGGCTGTGGGCAGCCTGGGGGTGTGTGTGTGTCTGGGGCTTTTCTCACCTTAGGCTCTGCCTTCCAGTGCTGGGCCGGGGGTTGGGAAGCTGGCTCCACAGGGATGTTAAAGCCACTTGCCTCATCCAAAGCAGCTTCTTCAGTGAGCTGTGGACAGGTGGAAAGGTACCATTCCCTGTTCTAGGCCTGGATGCCCCTCTCTCAGGAGTTCTGCACTCTGTAACTTCAGCTTCTCAGCTCTTTTTCCATTACCTCTTGCCTGAGGCTGCTGATTCCAATCTCAAGAGACTAGGGAGAAGGACCTTGTCACAGGGACAGAGAGCACCAACTAGATATGAGGTGCAGAGTGACTGGTTACACAGCCTCAGTGTGGGGGCAGGGTGAACAGGGCCAGGCAGGTGGTGCAGTATGGGACACGGACAGGATGCAGGTAGTTGGGTGGGAAAGCCAGGCCCACCTGCTGCATGACTCTCCGGATGGCTGTCTCCTCATCTTCATCCTCATCACTGTCTGGGAGGCGGTAGTCCTGAAGAGTCACTTGAATAAGGGAGAGATAGAAAGAAGGGAAGGAGTGAGGGACAGACATTTCACCTGAGTTGCAGTCCTCTTGATTTCCACAACTGGTTTTGTCTCCCAGGCACTTGTTGCAGAACTCAGAAGCCTCATGAGCCAGTCTGATCAAAACTTATCTCTTCCTGTTCCCACCCTGCAAAGCTGGGCCATCACTGACAAAACCCTGAGGATCAGGAAGCAGGAAAAGAGGTCTCAGCACCTAAATGGACTGAAGGCCCTCCTGCCCTCTGAGGGCTGCCACTGGTTCTTCATCCACTGCTTGCCCTAGCCAGTGATGGCAAACTCTTTAGAGCTGTCAATGATACAAACAGCCCACTGGGGCACACATGCCATCAGTTCGCCACCACTGCCCTAGTCCATTCCTCATGGCTCACGACTCCTGGACCCTGACTCAGTCTTAGCAGGGACAGCACGGCCTGGGAAAGAGGGAGACCTGGACCAACGGGCATGAGTGAACAGCTGACTCTAGCCTTTACCTCTGTTGGGATCTCGTCCCTGCAACATAGCCAGTCGCTTGGCGAGGGCCAGGATCTGTTCCTCCCTGGTGTTCTTCTCCCGGAGCTCAACTGCTGCCTCAGTCAAAAGCCTGTTTTTCTCCTCTTCCAGGGACCAGCTGATCTGCCCCTGGGAATTAGTGTGCTGGCTCCCTGCACCACCCTGATTGAGGTCATTCTGGAGAGAGATAGCAGCTGGAAAAATAATGCAGTTAGGGAGGCAGCAGCATTCTAAGATCTCTCCCCAGAAGACACTGAGCCCACTTTCCACACACCATCAGTTTTTTGCAGGTACTAGCACCTATGGCTTATATCACAAATAAAAAATTAGTATTTCCTCCATCTTTCCAAATGATGTCGTTTACATCCATCCCCACCTGATACAGGGTAGGTGTCCCATGGTTTGAGACTCACCTCCCTAAAAGATCAGGATAAGAGGAAGCCAAACTGCAGACAGTCTCTCTGCCTTTTGGAGCTGGAATTAGCATTTGTCAGAAGCAGCACAGAGAGGGCCTGAATGAAGCTGAGGTCTTGTACATCATTGGGCAGGAGGAATTTTACAGAGTGGGTATGGCTCTGCTACGGTCACCTTCAGCCTAAATTTCAGAGCAAAAGATTTGAAACAAGACAGCTTTGGATTCAGCCTCCCAGCTTCCATCTCTGCTGCTTAAGAGTTGTGTGACTTAGGGGCTGGGGATTTAGTTCAGTGGCATAAGTGCCTGCTCTGCAAGCGCATGGTCATGAGTTCAATCCCCGGTACTGATATTAAAAAAAAAAAAAAAAAAAAAAAAAAAAAAGAGTTGTGTGACTTTGGTCAAGTTCCTTAAGCTCATCAGTCTTTGGTTTCCTCTTTTATAAAGAAGGATAAAAATACGTAACTCAAGATTATTGATTCTCAATGAGATTGTGTAAGGCAGGGTGCCTTGATCTTAATTCTACTGACACATTGCAGAGGTATAGTTCTTTGTTGGAGGGAACTGACCTATGCATTGTAGGATGTTAGCAGCATACCTGCCAGATGCTAACTCTATCCCGAGTTGTGACAATCACGAAGGCTTTGGACATTTTCAAGAGTGCGGGGGGGGGGGGGGGCAGGGGCGGGAATAATTATCACCAGTTGACAACAACTAAAGTCTTGAAATAGCACTGTCTGATAGAATTTTCTATGATGATACAAACGTTCCACAACCATGAATTCATGAAGGTATTGAAAATTTAAAACGCAGCCAGCTGTGATGGCTCATGCCTGTAATCCCAGCATTCAGGAAGCTGAAGCAAGAGGATTGTTGCAAGTTCGAGCAAGACCAGCTTGAGCTACCAAGTGAGCTCAAGGTGAGCCCAAACTGCATAGTGAGACCCTATCTCATAAAACCACACACACACACACAAAAAAAGAAAGAAAAAGAAAAGAAAGAAAGAAAAGAGAAAGAAAAAAACCTTAAAATGTGACTGGCAGCAGTAAGCAACTAAATTTTAAATTGAATTTATTTATTTTTGAGACAGAGTTTCTGTAATTCAGGCTGGCCTCCAACCTGTGGCATTTCTCCTGCCTCAGCATCCCTGAGGCTGGGTTTTTTTTTTTTTTTTTTATTGGTACCGGGGATTGAACTCCCCACCACCTGCTTGTCTCATACTCCACTGAGCTAAATCCCTAGCCCGAGGCTGGGATTATAGGTATGTGCCATCACACCCAGCTGATTGTAATTTTCTAGCCTTCCTTTTTTTTTTTTTTTCCCCAGCAGTGCCAAAGTTTATCTGATAAAGTAGAAGTGAAGAGTGGGAAAGAAACTGGCAGAGCACGGTTGGGCAGAGTAAAGACAAAAAGGGAGTAAGAACAAAGACAGTGGTGGTGCACAGCTATAATCCCAGCATTCAGGAGACTAAGTTAGGAGGATCACTTTGAGTTCAAGGCCAGTTTGGGCTACAAAGTTAGCTCGAGGTCAGCCTGAACTGCATAGTAAGACTGTTTCTTAAAAAGACACACACACAAAAAGCACATGCTAGTGGCACATGCCTGTAATCCCAGTACTAGGGAGGTTGAAACAAGAGGATCCCTGCAAGTTCAAGGTCAACCTGGGCTACATAACCAGAACCCCCACCAAAAAAAAGTACATGCTGGATCTGAGAAACACAAAGTGGTTTTCATGGAAAGCTGTGATAGCCTTCTTCCTTATCATCGTCACCATCATTGCAGAGAACACTGAGTACTTACTATGAACCCAAATGCTTACTGGATTATCAATTTCTCCTCCACTTACCCATGAGGTAGGTTTTAACACATACATTACTCATTCTACACATAAGGAAAGTAAGACATACGTTAACTTGCCCATAGCTAGTATGTGCTTGAACTGGGATACACTGTCTGATTCTAACACCCATGCTTTTAACTACTAGGCCTACACTGGCTCCCTTTAGAGTACTCACTAAATGGTAGCCCATATAATGCTGATCACTCTCTGATTTATATTTATCTCCCCAAAAGGTAGACAGCAGAGTCTCTCCCATCTGGGAAAAGAGGATGGGCATGTCCATGGAGGAGCCAACTAGAGGGGTTACCTGGGTCTCCTTGTTCCCAGCTTTCATCAATAGCCACCTCAGCTGCCAGCTGCATTAGCAGATCCTGTGTCTGCTGAGCCTGGGTCCTGCGATCTGGTGTCTGATCTGCCTGCCCAGGGGAGGGAACCTCAGTGAGGAATGGGGGGAGGGGGAAAACTGTACTCTAAGGCCAGAAGCAATCTAAGTCAGGAGTGGATGCTGAGGAGTTCTCAAAGTCCACGGACAAGAGACGAATACAAGGCCCATAATCAAGTAGGTCTGGCAAACCCCAATAGGACTGACCATCTACTCTTTTCTGACCCAGTCAGTCCTGCTGCTTGTTATTTGCTCCTTGGCCTGGCAACAGCCCTGAGGCTCAGGAGGTAGGGATGGGAGGGTTTACCAACTCCTGAAAAGTACAAGACTAAACATGTACCTTGCACTAGGAATCTCTCCCCTCCCAAACCATAGCACTCACTGGCCGAGGGGTCTGAGAAGGTGGAACTCTGCCCTTCAGTGCTGCAAGCCGAGTTTCCATCTCCTGGATGGAAGTTATGGGACCCCGGGGTTCATCCTTCAATGCAGCCAGCCGTGCTTCTATCTCTGCCTGTGAGGGCACTGATTCTGCAATTGGCATGGGGAGATCAGGGTAAGGACCAGAGCAACCCAACCCCAGAAGCTCCAGACTGTGTCTTTCTGGCCATCCTGCTTCCCCCCACTCACTGGGCTTGTTCTCCTGGCGGAGCCGCGCTAAACGCTCAGCGATGACTTGGTCTTGCTGGCTTAGTCCCTGGCTCTGGGGACTGGGCTTCTGCTTGGCCTCCAAGGTTGCTACACGCCTGGCAGGATATAAGATACAGGCTCTTGAAGGCAGAAGGGAGGACTGACGGCATCTACTCAGTTTCCCAATCGCTTCCAGGTATCTAGGGAGACCTCCAGTGGGTGATCTTCCATACCCCACACTCATGTTCTTTGCAACCCAACCCAGCTGACCAGCCTCAGGTCTAGATGACAGGCTAAGATCTACCACATGTTTTTTCTGGGGAGAGGGCTGACAAGCTGTTTTCTGAGCCCAAACAGGCAGTCGACAGTCTGAGAAGTGGGTATTCTCCTGACTCTGCATTGATTTGTTCCATGCCCAGTTTTCTTTTTCATCTTCAATACTTACTTCTTATAGTTCTGAGGTGGTGACCACTTGGAGGCATTGGCAGGAGAAGACCCTCTATAGAGAAGTAATCTAGCATTAGAAGTCCTGCCATCTCACCAGTCAGGGACCCCCTACCCCAAACACTACCTGGGCTGACTTCTGATGGACTGCCAGATGCTCACTGCCATGCTTAGCTGACCCCCATCCTTGCTGGCCTCTCACCTGGTCAGGATCTCATGGCATTGCTTGCAGACTTTCTGTTGGGTGTTGCCAGTTCGGGGCACCACTGCACTGAAGCTAAGACAGCCAGAACAGAAGGCCCGGCCACAATTCTTACAGCCGAACTACAAAAGACATGAAGCAGAAGGATCTACTTCTTCTTGTTAGGGTCCCCCCTGGGCTCTCCAAGCAATATACAGAAAGAAGACTAATTCTTGGGAAGAGGAAAAGAGTGGGACTCCAAGACCTGGGGAGAAACTGAGCAGAGGGTAAAGCAATTCCTTGAATTCTAGTCTTTTATACAAGTCACATGAAACTCTCGGCAAAATTGCCTTGCTTCCTATCATCTTCAATTCCCTGCCCCGACCAAAGCCTTGTGCTTCAGGCTATGGATTCTTCAACAAAGGAGAATCTTTAGAGTGCAGAGGCTACATATTGTCTACTCTGGAAGGACTTGGCTCAGAATGGAATTCGAACAATAGCACTTACTCTGTGCCAGGCACTAAGCTTAGTACTTAATATTCATCATATGATTTAGCCTTCCCAATCCATACACATTATTTTTTTTTTGTCTTTTTCTTTTTTATCCGTACCAGGGATCAAACTCACGACCACACACTTGCAAGGCAGGCGCTTATGTTGCTGAGCTAAATCACCAGCCCCCATACACATTTATTTTATTTAATACCTGAGGTCCACCATTATTTTCCTTATTTATTTATTTATTTATTTAGACAGGGTCTTGCTATGTAGTTCAGGCTGACCTCAAGCTCAATCCTTTTGCTTCAGCCTCCCAAGGTTGGAACTATAGGCGTGCACCACCACGCTATTTTTTCTATTTTAGCGGAGGCCTGGGAAGTTACATGACTTGTTGAAACTAAAGTCACCCTGTAAGACAGCAGAGGTCAAACTTGAACCCACTTCAAAATCCAGTCATCTAAGTGCCATCTGGTCCTGCCTCCCTACATGGCATTAATTCATCCCATCTGGTTCCATCATCTTCTGGTCATATGCTCTGGGCACACGTGAGGTACAGAAAGCCTGCAGTTTACCAGGGGAACCTGGCAGGTTGGTTTCCCGGGAGCAGGAAGAAGGGTGTTTATGGAAAAGAGACCTGGGCAAAGGCGGGCTGCAGAGATGGGCGAGGTTTCAGAGCAAAGGGCACATTGTGATGGACAGGGTCACGGGGTACAAAAGATGGCGCTGGGAGGTAAAAGGTTGAGAGAAGATGACAGGCAGACTCTACACTTGGGAGGGAGAAAAAGCGTAGTTTTCTGATAATGACAGTCACGCACTTTACAATATACAAGGTACTTTCACCTCCAGCACCGCTTTAGATCTTCACATCAGACTCCAAAGAGAGGAAGGCTTAGCCTAATTTTGCAGAAATCGAAACTGAGGATCAATGACTTCATGAAAATCACACTGCTGAAAGGGGCCATAAAACCGGGTCTTTGCACTGCAAATCCCATGCTTTCCCCGTAGCTCCTCGTCCCCCCTGGCCCTCCAGCCCTCGGGGAGAAGACTCGCCTCCTTCTTGAAGAGGGTAAACTTGACGGCGCAGCCGTAGCACCTGCTCTCCATTGTGTCTTCCCCCGTAGCAGGATCCGTGAGGCTGAAGCCAGGAGGGCCAGATCCCTACCCCTCGGACCCTCACTACCCGGCCCGCCTCGCCCCACACGCCCACTCCAGCTGGCGGCGGGAGCGAGGGCTGCTGGGAGTCGCAGTTCACTTGTGGCCGTGTGCTCCCTCACAGTCAGGTCGGAACCGGAACCCGGTGGTTCCCAGGAGGCTAAGCGACGCGCGGCCCCGCCCTGCCTGGGCTCATGGGAGTTGTAGTACGAACCCAGTCAGGACAGGAGCCATGGCGGTGACAAAGGAGCTCCTACAGATGGACTTGTACGCGCTGCTAGGTATTGAGGAGCAGGCGGCGGACAAAGAGGTAAGAACGGTGGCGAGGAAGGCAGACCCTGAACGGCCTGGCGGCCTTTCCTGTCCAGGCGCCTTTTCCGCTGTTGGCACCAGTGCTCCAGGTTTGGCTGGGTTCTGGGCGGGGAGCGTGGGGCGGCCCGACAGCCCCAGAAGCGGGGCGCTCAAACCTTTCCTGGACAGTATGAGGGACTTGTGTAGAAAGGGGCACAGCGGGTCCCTCGCGCCATGTGGCTCTACTCTGGCTGCTGTTTGGGAGAGACCCGGGTGCGCGTCAGAAAAGCCTGACCTCTTTGCGCCTGCGCAGCCTCAGCCTCCTCGTCCACTTTTGCGTCTACTGGGACTTAGGGACGTTTCTCTTTTAGTCTGTTCTGCAGGCTGATTTGACATGGCTTAAAATCTAGAGTGTAAGAAAGATCAAATTACAAGGCTCCTTCACTATTACCTTTTCATCTCAGTTTGGCCATGTGACTTACAACCCTGCCCTCTCTAGCCCATTGACCCTTTTCAAATGGCAGATTTTCAGTGTTGTCCTTCTCAGCATGTGCTAGATGGTGGGCCCAAAACAGGATCAAACGGTATAGCAAGTGTGGACCAAAGGGCTGGGGATAACACTAATCAAGCTGTATGTGAAGTTTCTGTTATTTCCCTCTACTTCATGGTAATGGTTTGTAACGATATAGGCAGCAGAGGCTGATAATTTGATAATTTGTTGCGTGAAAATGAATGCCCATCAAGGCCCCTATATTTCTGGACTGCTCAAGGGCGGAATGGGCTTTTAAGAGCAGGATATTGGAGCCAGGAGTGGTGGGGTATGTCTATTATTTCAGCCACTTTGAGAGGCTGAGGCAGGAGAATCCCAAATTTGAGCCCACTCTGGGAAATTTAGGGACTTTTTTTTTTTTTTTTTTTTTTTTTTTTTGCGGAACCGGGAATCGAACTCACGACTTCGCGCTTGCCAGGCAGGCGCTTATGCCACTGAGCTAAATCCCCAGCCTAAGGACTTACTTTGACTTTGTCTCAAAAATAAAGATGGGTTAGGGAATGTAGCTCAGTGTGAAGGTCTTGAATTCAAAGTCCAGTACTGAAAAAAAAAAAAAAAGCCAGTGTTAAGTACCAAAAGCATTTACTGCATCTGTCTTCTAAGACTTTAATATTTGAGTATTAATAATGTTGAGCATCTATATGTTTATTATGTCCTGGGTACTAAGAGTTGTACAGTCCATTTTGTCTGAAACATAATGGAAAAAGTAAAAGATAAGCCTTGAAAAGTAGATGACATCTTGAGAAAGACCTTATCAGTTACTCATCAGCCACTTCTGCTTTCCAGCACTTATTTCTGTTTTCACTTTGGATACCTTGGTGAGGAATACTTTTGGTAGAGAGTAAGGGAAATCTAGGACCTGGTAGGTGGTAGTATCCCTTTCCTTGACTTAGTACTGTCATGTTCTCTAGGGGAATCTAGGGGGCCTAAGGAACATTCAAAGTGTATAAGAGAAGGGCCACCTAAACTTTGGTTGTCTGGCCCTGTACTTTCTGAAAGTGAGGTAGTGCTGTATTTTTCTGTCTGGTTTGTTCACTTAACATAATGTCCTTAGGGCTCACTCAAATTGTCTCAAGTGCCAGAATCTTCTTTTTAAGGTGGAATAATCCATTGTGTGTGTGGTTGGTTCCATATCTTGGCTATTGTGAATAGTGCTACAGTGAGCACAGGAAGGCAGTTGTCTTTAGGAGATGATCGTTTTTCACGTAGGGTTCTTTTTGTAGACTTTCATTTCCTGTTTATTATCAGTGCTACAGTAGAATAATAATATGAGTCCATGAACTTTTCTAAAATCTCATCAACTGTCATTTAGATAATCCAGTTTTCAGAATATGTTCAACATTAGCTACCCCATCGCATCTGCCATTCTTAAATCTCCTTATGAGTCTCGCAGCAGAATTATATTGCTATTATCTTCTAATTGACTTAAATAGTCTGTATTTTTTGTGTATCTGTTGAATACATGAAGTGATTCTCCCTTAAATCTTTTTTTTTAATTTTTTAATTTTTATTTTTTTGGCAAATACATTCAACATGCTATGTATATAGTATAACATTCACTTTATTATTTCTTTCCCAAGACAGTTTTCTTCAATCGATTAACACCCAGTTCCTTACATGGGCTTTGGGTCATGGGGCAGCACCAGCAGGTGCTAAATCGGGGTGGAGATGTTCGGTCCTTCCGAGGAGCTCCCGGAGATCGATTCCTGACCACTTTGCTGTGAATGGCACAACTCACACAGTAATGCAGCTTCACATAGAGCTTGTGAAGGACATAACCATGGAAGACACTCGCTTCGGAAAGGGCCTCTACGGTGTTTTTTTGTTTTTTTTTTTTTTGTCTTTTCCCTTTGTATCGGTACCGGGGATCGAACTCAACTCACGACTGCCTGCTTGCAAGGCAGGCGCTTATGCCGCTGAGCTAAATCCTCAGCCCCTGCTCTATGGTGTTTTGAATAAGGAACTCCTTAATGGCCTTATTCTTGGGTTCGCACCGGGCGCAGTTTTTGCAGCGAATGGGCTGCACATGACCGCAGCTCTTTTTTTTTTTTTTTAATCAGTACAGGGGATCGAACTCACGAACGCCTGCTTGCAAGGCAGGTGCTTATGCCGCTGAGCTAAATCCCCAGCCCCAACCGCGGGCCTTTTTAGCACGACCGTTGTTCCTTCTTTTTTCGTCATTTTGGAAAGGAAGGCCCAAAAGAGGCTCTCCCTTAAATCTTTTGAGCACCCCATTTTAATTGAAATCCATGAATTTGGGCATTGCTTTTTTTTTGTTGTCTTGAGACAGGGTTTTGCTATGCACTTCATGCTGGCCTTGAACTCACTTTGTAGCCCAGGCTGGTCTCCCCAACTCATAGTGATCCTTCTGCCTCAATCTCCCAAATGCTGGGATTACAGGCTTGTGCCACCATGCTCAGCTTGGGCACTGCTTTGACATTTGGCTGATAAACTCCAGGTTGGCAGATAACTTCCTATAAAGCGTCACTGATACCAGCTGAAGCCTATTAAACAAACTCTCTTGAGCTAAACATAGAATCTGCCATAATTTTCTTACATTTTGCTTTTGGTATTCCTTGTTCAAGAAGCACACCAGTCTCCAGGAACAGAGTGAACTCCTAAATAAAAAATAAAAAATGTGCCAGAGAAAGCTTAGTGGTTTTGAATTTAGTCCTCAGTAATTCTACTCCCACAGCACCTCTGATACGGGCCCACCTCTTTGTATTACTGATGGTAAAACAAAGTCAGAGAGGATGTTTGTTTAGTGACAGAATTGAGTAGAACTAAAACCTAGATGCCCTGATGCCCAGCTCAGATCCTGTTCCTTCTATCATGTCTTCCTGACCTTGCCCTGCACAATTCAGTGACAAGGATGACCATTAACAGCAAATTTAACTTTCACTCATAGCATTTTTCTGAATCCTAAAGCTGTAATACACTCATCTGCCTATTTGATCTCTTCACTTGAATGTTTCATAGTGTTCTAAGTCTTGCTACATCCAAAATTGAACTCTTAAAAAAAAATTGAACTTTTAAATTTCTCTCTGGAAACCTGTTCTTTTGTTGGACTTCTGAGACCATTTCAGTAAATGGTACCACCATACCATCCACTGAAGCTAGGATTGTACCCCATCCCTACCTCTCATTTGGGGGATCTAATTCAGGGCCTTGCATGTGCTAGGCAAACACTCCGCCACTGAGCTGTATCCCTAGCCCCATCCACTTATGCTAGGAACCTGAGTCCTTCTTGGTACTTCTTGGGTCCTCATGTATCAATCTCTCAAAATAGTCTTTTTGTTTGCTTAAGACAAGAGTCTATGTAGTTCAGATTGGCCTTGAGCTTACGATGTAGCCAGGCCGGCCTTGAACTCACAGTGGTTTTTCTGCCCCAGCCTCCCAAGCTGGGACTATAGGCATGCACCACCTTACCCAGCATCCTCTCAAATAATTTTGAAATGTTTGTTACTTTCTTTCTCTCCACCACCAGTCCAACCCACTTGTCTCTCTGCTTCCAACCTATTTTAATCTCTCTCTCTCTCTCTCTCTTTCTCTCTCTTGTGATGCTGGGCATCAAACCCAGAGCCTTGTGCATGCAATTCTAGAACTCTACCACTGAGCCACATCCCTAGCCCCAACCTATTCTAATCGAGCATGCTTTTCTTTCTTCTCACAGAGAATGAAATTATATTGATATTCACTTAAAGCCCTGTTGTGTTTTCAATGAAATGCTCAATAGGATTTCCTATTCTTTCTTACAAGGTTTTTCATGTGCCAGAAATGATTTTCTTCCCTTCATGGGTTGTTTTTATCCTTCAAAACTCAGTTTAAATGGCACCCTTAGAGAGGCCTTGTCTCTCTCTCTCTTCCTGCCCCTCTTCCTTATTTTCTGTCTCCCTATATTTCTTCTTTTTTTGGTGGTTCTGGGGCCTTGTGCATGGTAGGCAAGTGCTCTGTTGTTGAGGTACACCCCCAGCCCTTTTTATTTTTTATTTTGAGACAAAGTCTCTTGGTTGCCCAAGTTGACCTTGAACTTGTGATTCTCTTACCTCAGCCAAGTAGCTGGAATTACAGGCATGTGTCACCACACTTGCCTTCATACTTGCTCAGCTTCTTATTCTCTGCTGTAGCAACTGGCTCTTCTCCTTTCTAGAACTGAATTTTGCAGCAGTGTATTCAGCTATGTGATTACTTGCCTCCTGCCTTATTCCTCCCTGTATTCCTGCCTCTTAGGAGCAGGTGAGGGCCATTCACTTCTGTTGTAGCCCCTAACCTGGTAACTGACATGTGGTAGGCTGGCAGTAAGACTTGCTGAATGAATGGAGCAACTACAGAGACCAGGCACGGAGGCAGGAGGTAGGAAGTGGCCCATCTCTCTGAGCAAGGCCCTGCCTCAGCAGCAGCTTGCTGTGTACCCAGTGCCTCACCCAGGGCCAGTGTATTCTGAGTCTGAATGTAATGAAACCACTCTG